CAGCCAGTGAGCGGGAACTGGTCTGTATGTGGGATCCGAACCCTCGGGCGGGAGCGCCGCCGCGCTTCCCAAGCGGCGCACTATCCAGTGCGCCACTGGGCCGGCCCAAATAGTTGTAAATTTTGAAAAAGGGTATAGTCCTGCCAAATGTGGGATGACCTCATCAGACTTTCTCTTTCTTTTATAGCGGATGTGATGCTGGTACAGCCCAGAGTAGAATTTATTCTGTCTTTCATTGACCACATTGCTGGAGATGAAGATCATACAGATGGAGTAGTAGCTTGTGCTGCTGGACTGATAGGGTAAGTTATACCCTGATTCCAATAGCTGAATATGGAAAATAAGAAGACAGGTAGTAAAGAATTTTGAGAGTAACATGGATGTTAATAACCCACTACTGTGGCACAAAGGAGATTTCTTTGTAGAACCCATAGTGTCCTGTCTTGAGTGCTCACAAATGATAATTCATCTCAGACCCTCCAGGTGTCTGTGATTTCTCCCTATCAAACTCTGGTTTTGTTCAGCAAATTGCCTCTGTTTAGTGTCTGGGTTTCTGAGGCATCACTAGAAAAAAGAACATTGGTCTTGAGCTCAAAGACCTAGACTCTGGTGCTGATTTTTACCATGAATTAACTATTTAATATTGGGTAGTCATTCTACCCACTTTAGACCTATTTTTTTCTCATCTGTTGAGGGCAAATGCTAGCTTTATTTGTCTCTGAAATCTCTTCCAACTTGAAAAAGTAGGTGAATGCTGAGAAACGCATAGCTAGCTTAGTGATGATCTGGAAGGCTCAAAACATACTGGTGCAAGGCCAGGAGCTCATTCTCACGTGTGTTTATTTTGCACAGGGATTTATGTACAGCATTTGGGAAGGATGTACTGAAATTAGTAGAAGCTAGGCCAATGATCCATGAACTGTTAACTGAAGGACGGAGATCAAAGACTAACAAAGCAAAAACCCTTGCTACGTGGGCAACAAAAGAACTGAGGAAACTGAAGAACCAAGCTTGGTAAGAGCCTTTCTCCGCTATCCTCTCTCTTCTACTTTCTTGGGGAGGAGATGTACATTTTCTTTAGGCTGTTCTGACAAGGGCTGGCTGTTGGTATTTTGTTTGTACTTTCTCTAGTGTATAAGTATGTCTGAGCCAGGCCTTTGTTCCTCAGCCTTGTACTAGTGGAAGAATCAGGCAGCCTCAATCTCTCCTTGAGCCAAATATTTGATTCCTCCTGGTGATGGAGAAGAGAACTTAAATAACTGGAATTCACTGAAATTCCCAAAACATTTTGGGCTCTAATTAGACCATCAATAATGGCATTTTTCCATAATTTTCTTCTACTTTTTATTCCCTTCCTCATGCCTGCTTCTTTCTTTCTTTCTTTTTTCTTTTTTCTTTTTTTTGTCCCCACAAGGGAAACTTTATTGATGGCTCTAGTTTATTCCCTCCCAAAAGATCAAATGAAGTGAACATAAACTCAAGATTTTATTGTCTTCATAGTAAAACAAGATGAAGCTTAGAACTGGATCACCTGGCCCTTCACTCTGTCTTTTCGCAGTTCAAAATGCTTGCATCTCTTAATAGCCAGCATTCTCGTAGATCTGCAGTTAGGCTCGACATACTCAAGCCTCAGCATAATCTTCTTTGTAGTTTTAGCCTTTTTCTGGAATATCAGCTTAGTTCGCCCGCCATAGCCACTCTGCTTCCTGTCATAATGCTGCTTTCCCTGGGCATATAGAGAACCCTTGCCCTTCTTGTACTGTGTCACTTGGGGTCAGTGCTGGCCACACTTTTTACAGAAAGTCCGGCAAGTGTTAGGAATGTTCACCATGTTTACGGGAACCCTATCAGCACGAAAAGAAAGCACCCTTATTCTTTGCTGCAGTGCTTTTAGACATTGCATAGCCCTACGGAAGATATCTGAAGTCAAATTTTTCTGACTCCTTTGAAATGTTTTTTTTCCTTTCAACTAGTCAGTTATCTCACTCCACAGATCTCAATAAAATTGGCTCTTTTGAGTTTTATCCGTTGAATTTCCCTCCCACCCTCTGGTGTAGGTGCTAATGAGAGCAGGCTGTTGGCACATAGGAAGAGAAGAAATATCAGTCTTTGAAAAACTGACAAAGTCAGTTCAGGCCTAGGAGCACATAGTTGGAGTCGGAGAGTTATTTGGCTCTACTGGGTTTATGTGATCTCAAAGATTGACCCTTTTTTCCATCTGTTTTTAGATCTGTTACCATTGGGATGATAACCTGAGACCCCCACTGGAAATCTCCAATCTTTTGAAAAACCTGGAAGTGAGGAGTGTGCACGGATGCTGAATGTTTGGGAATGAGAGGATGAGTGAGTGAGGCTTGAAAACACACCACATTGAAAATCCTGCCACAGCAGCAGCCGCAGCCGCCAACAGCAGCGCTGTTAGTGAGCTAAGTAAGCACTGACTTCGTAGGAAACCATAACATCGGCCATCTTGGAAAAGAGAGAAACGATGGATTTACTTGCTTTTAAAAAAAAAAAAAAAAAAAAAAAAAGCTGTCTCTTCCCAGGAGAGGCTAGACTAGCTTTTCTGTCTTTTGGCCGGTGCAGAGTGGAATGACTGGTTTGGGAGAGGAGTAGGGACTGGGTTCAGCTGTGGTGCTTTGTTGTAAAAGGCAGCCTGGCCTTTGCTACTGAGGAGAAAGATGCAGCCTGGGTCTCAAGCCCACCTTCGCTGTACCTTTGCCACATGGCACTGTATACGTGCTGGCTAGAAGGAGGGTGAGGGATTCTTACAGTCTGAGAATGAGTGCGTGTGAGTGAGGCGGTATCCACATTCTCAACTTCGAGTCATTGCAGTTTCTTTTTCCCAGAAAACAAGGGGTTAGATGTTGCATTTCATAAAACTAACCGAAGTTCTGTCTACTGATGCAGCACAAGAGATGTGTTTAAAAAAAAAAAAAAAAAAAAGGAAAGACGCTTTTTAGGTTTTGTTTTTTTGTTTTTGTAATTATCCTAGGGAAAACACTGACGAATGGTCAGAGCTCCTATTGTGATCTTTTCATCAAGGCGCCTTTCCTAATAATATGGTTCAACTGTGAATGTAGAAGTTGGGGGGGAGGGGGGAGACAGAAAACTCTGGAGTTAGAGGATATAGAAAAATAAAAAGTACAATTGTTACAAATAAAGAATGCAGACTTCAAAAACAAAAAAGCCACAGCCCCAACAAACCAAAATTTAAATGCTCAGAATTGGCAGCACAAAAGAAAAGCTCTCTCCTGACTTGTATTGTGGCCGTCTGAACGCCCCCAGAAAATTGTGCCAAAGAGTTTAGAAAACAGAAAAATAAAAGTAAATACACACACACACACAACAGCAAACTTCAGGTAACTATTTTGGATTGCAAATGAGGATAAACTTAATGTTCAAACAATCTGATAAAATAACCATTTGGAAACTGCTTGGCCTTCTGTTCTCTTTTATTTGATTGACTACAATGCGGTGTTGGTCTCTTGCTGCACTTCAAAACCAACTAACCAACAAAACAAGAATATATGTAAGTGTGTGTGTATATATATATACACATACACGCTAATTAGAAGCCTTGTGATGAAAATGGCACTTGAAAAAGGTTTTATTTTTCCACTGAAGTTGAAGATTAGTAAAACGGTGTCAAATATTCCCCTGGTCACACACTTTAATATTTTTTTTAAAAGTGTGATGTGCTGTGATTACCAGAAATCAGACAATTATTTTCCCTTTTTACAAGGGAACAGGGCACCCTGAATTTTAGAATCTTTCAGCAATAAGAAGAGGTGTCGGTGAACTTTGATCCCCTTATGGTTTTACAGTTAATAGGAATTTTTGCTGGCGTTTTTGAATATGCTGCTGTCAGAAAAACCAAGGAAGTTGTTTAATTGCTTCCTGGTATTTGGAGGACTAAAAAACAAGACCCTCATTCCCACTTTCATTTTCATTCTAGCAAAAAGTATGGGCTTATGTTTTTCTCCATCTCTTTGCATTTTCCCCTCCCTGTCTAAGCCTTCCATTCGTAAGTGGGATTGGCTCGGTTTTGCCCATCCATATGGCAGCATCTCTAATAGCTCTTGTACAGGGTATCAGATATTGTGCCTTTTGGTGCGGCAGCATCTCTAATAGCTCTTGTACAGGGTATCAGATATTGTGCCTTTTGGTGCCAGGTTCAAAGTCAAGTGCCGATCTATGAACCAGTAAAAAAAAAAAAAAAAAAAAAAAATCCAGGTGTTTGAAGGAGAGACGCTCCATTGTGAATAAAGAGTTTACAACAGCTCCTAAGCCCTATTAAGAAGAGGCCTGGCCCTCTAATGCCTTGTTTCCATTTAGTTGTTCATTGAGGGACAGGATGATATACTAACCATTCCTGATACTAGATAGGGTTGGGTCAGGGCTTAGGGAGGGGGCAGAAATATTGGGGAGAGAAAAAATCTGATCATTCCTCAGTGCTACCCATTTCTGTCCTGTGTGGGCTGCTTAGCTAGACAGCAGGAGAATAAAGTACACCGAGAACCATAATGAAAAAAACCTTCCGTGTGTTTTGTCGTGTTTTGTTCCAGGGAAGCAGTTGACAAGTGCTGTTATTAATGCTTTCTCCCAGATCCATTCAGTAATGGAAAGGAGGAAAATGGCCTGGTTGGATTGTGGTCTTGGTGCCTTGCAGTTGTTCTGCACTGGTTATGCATTTAATCCTCCCTCTTTTCTAGTTACCTTTGGCTAGTGGATTTTCCATAGTCTAGGTATTTGTTCTTAAATCAATTGTACCACCTAAGGCAACTGAATGCAAAATGCATTCTGTCCACTCACTATCTGGGCCTTCCCCACCCTAGTCTTGGCACATTCCTTCAAGAATGTAGTTACCGTCTGCTTGGGAAGATGTCAGTGCAAATGTGAAGAAAGTGGGCATCGGACTAGGCTTTGGTTTGCCACAAGTGGCAGCTGCCTATATCAATTACATTTGTTAATTTTGCTTTTCATTTTTTCCAGTTCCCCTCAGCCCCCCCCCTCTGTTGAAATGTTGAAATTTTAGCTGTCAGAGGCAACTGTAATATTGCCTTAGGGACTTGTGGAGGAAGGGAGGGGAGTTGCTCAGTGTAGTGTTTTAACTTTCAGAACCAGGCAATCTATTTACTCTTACTATTTAAGAAGTGTGTTAGTCCAACTTTAAGAGAAATCCAAACTCCATCAGCTTTTGATAGCATCTTGGTTTTTGAAACAACTTCAATCTGTAATTGGCATTCAAAATGCCCTTGGCATGCCAGTCTGTGTGATGGCAGTAAAGACCTGTTAAAACACTTGAGCCCAACTTTATTAACCAAAACTGATACCACCACCTTTATCTTCTAAATAAAGTCCGCTTTATTTTTATTTTCAACATTTTGCTGCTTCATTTTTTGTTCAGATGGTGTCACCTCCGTGGAGGTGGAATGAGTGGTGTGAAAGGAGCAGGTGTGTGGTGACAGATGTGTGTGTGTTGGTGAATGAAGAACACATGTCTTAAAGATGGACTCCACACGGTGTCACGTGAAGTGAATGAAAAACAATTCCCCATGAAGGAGGTAGGGAAAAAGTACCCCATTGACTAGGTTTCCTGTTTGGAGAATTTGAGTCTGAAAGAGTACTAGAGATTGTCCTCTCGTACCTATTTTTCAGACTAATGATCTGGTTAGTTGGCTCATCCACAAATTGGATTTTTACTTAGTTTGCATCTTTTTTTTTTTGGCAGCTGGCCGGTATGGGGATCCAAACCCTTGACCTTGGTGTTAGAGCACCACACTAAACAGCTGAGCTAAATGGCCAGCCCTCTAATTGTGTATTTCATTTCTTCTCTCAGTTTTTCCCTCCCAGAAATGAAAAGAACACTAGTTTGGGACTTAAGAAACTAGGACGGTTCCTTCGCCCTGCTGCTTATTAGCATAGTGGTACCTACAGGCTACTTTATGGAAATATGCACTCTTAGTTTATTTTGGGCAACTAAAATGACTTCAGTTCCATCTTAGCCTCCACGTGGACTTTCACCTTTTAAAAAAAAACTCTGCTAAATTTAAGCCTTTTCACCTTTTCTGAGTACACACACTGCAGTGTGTTTATGAATTATATACCCTTACTACTGTACTCATATATTGCAATCAAAAGACAAAAACAAAAAGAAATTATGAAATAAACATAAGTAGAAGTTCTAGGGCCGGCCCGTGGCTCACTCGGGAGAGTGCGGTGCTGATAATACCAAGGCCACGGGT